GCCTTTTATCTTCCCCACTTCTCCATGCCTCAGGCGCCTCCTGGTGGCCAACCAGCCTCTCTGGTCCCTGCTCCGAGTCTGAACCCTGCCCAGGGTCCTCCACATCGTCCAGGGCAGATTCATGTGGTTCCTCGCTATCCGAGTCCATCAGCTCAACCGGATCCTGCTGGGCCACAACGCCTACCATACTAGGAGTTTAAAGAGGGGTTTTCCAGCTGTGCCATTGGGCAAAGTAAGCATTGGCAAGCTTTCTGGTGGTGGTGTGGGGGCATTGTGTGTGAAAGGGCCCCTGCTTTTATTGATTATGTCTGCCTGCTGCAGATATGCCCTCCTGGTTCCTGATTTTCTGATTTAACTTTTTTATTAGTTTTTCTAAGTATAAAATACAAAGAAAAAAAACATGGAAAAGTAAGAAGAGAGGAAGGGGAAAAAAGGGCACCAACGTCCGACTCTCTTTGGCACAGTCAAAGTTAACAACATTACAACCACAACTTTTTGCTTTTACACAACAGTATGTACAAGCCATTTCTATAACAAGAAGCCTTTCTAGTTTACAAAAACAGAATCAAAGATTCTTCCCTCCCCCCCATCATTGCACACACAAACTCCAGAAACAATTTCAAACTAGAGACAAAATTAAATGTAATCTCTTATTCGGATAAAAGAATCATTTTAACCATCTCAGCTTCTACTTGCCGTGGGGAAGAATATATCACCCATTCTCATAATTTTCAAATCCAGTCCATGATATTTTACCAACTTTAGAATATTATTTAGCATTGCTTAAAGAACCGGCAGATCTGCGTATCCTTATTTTATATGGTTCCTGATTTTCAAGGCCACTCACTTTTTGGCAATTAGAAAGATGGGGTTTTGTGGTCATGGTGGCCAAAAGTCCTCTCTCCCACTTCTCCAAGGGAAGCTTCACCCTGGAGATGCTGCTAGGCAGCAACTTCCAAGGCTGGCTTTATTGTCAAGCAGGGGACGGGGGATAGGCTGACCGCAGAAGCTGTCCTACCCAAAGAAGAGTTGTTCCCTAAATTATGGAGGCTGTTTAACATACATGTACCACAGGGGTGATATACACTTACCTTCCCTACCAGTTCGCAAATGTGAGCGGTTTGGTGAAAAAATGGCCTAAATGGGATGCCATAGACCCGGGTGTGGGTGGGCGGAGCCATCCACAATTTCCACTACTGGTTCGGTAGATCCGGTCCAAACTGGTAGAAGACCAGCTCTGATATACCACATATTTTGCTGCTAGATGCCTAACAAAGGAGGCCTCTGTACTGGGAGGAAGGGGAAGCCGTGTTAGCCAGCACCTTCACATAAGAGCCGCGGTGACGCAGTGGTTAGAGTGCAGTACTGCAGGCAACTTCTGCTGACTGCCGGCTGCTCGCAATTTGGCAGTTCAATTCTCCCCAGGCTGAAGGTTGACTCAGCCTCCCATCCTTCCAAGATGGGTAAAAATGAGAACCCAGATTGTTGGGGGCAATAGGCTGACTCTGTAAAACCGCTCAGAGAGGGCTGTAAAAACACTATGAAGCGGTATATAAGTGCTGATGCTATTAAGGCCGACCTTGAAAGCAGCTTCTTAGCCAGCATTCCAGCATTGAAGCTGTTTGCATCTGGGAGTCCCAGGTGAAAACCATCTTCCTTAGTGGAAAATAAGCTTGGGGAGCATCTCCTCATCCTTAACTCAAATTAGAGGAGTGGGAGATGCAGAACTCTTTTGGTGCTGGAAGAGCTGTTTCTAAAGCCGGACGGACCTTCCTCCCACTTGCTGTGGGCAGGCTCAGAAGTGGGGCTTCTGCAGCCGGCAATCAGCCCCCATTAACAAACAAGCAGGAGGTTTAAATGAACACGGAATTAAATTAAATAACTACCCGTATTTAGACTATGATTCATTCCCCACAAGGTGAATTATTTTGCCTTTCTATCGCTTGAAAAGTGACTACAGGCAGTCCTTGACTTACAACCATTTAGTAAGCAAACGGAAGTTACAATGGCACTGAAAAAAGCAACCCCACTGGTTCTTACACTTACCACTGTCCTTGTGGTCATGTGATCAAAACAGAGGCGCTTGGCAACTGACATGTACTTAAGACAGTTGAAGCATCCCAGGGTCATGTGATCACCATTGGCGACCTTCCCGGATGGCTTCCAACAAGCAAAGACCAGGTGGGGGGGAAGCTTAATGACTGCATCGTTCACTTAATGACTATGACAATTTGCTTAAGAACCGTGGCAAACTACATAACTAGGGTAGACTAGCGAAGGTAAGGGAAGAAGAAATGATACTAAATTATATTTGGGTTGGTGGAAATACCATCCTAAGGAAACATAAACTGAGATCTGAAAAAGACACCTACAACAATAGAAAAGAAAGGAAGAAAGGAGGAGGGAATGAAAGGAAGATGAGGGAAAGAAGAAAGAGGTAAGGAGAGGAGGATGGAAGGGAGAGGAAGAGAAGGAGAGAAGGTAGGAAGGGGAAGAGGAAGAGTAGGAGTAGGAGAAAGTTAAGGGAAGAAGGAAGGGGAAGGAGAGTAGGATGGAAGGGAGAGGAAGAGAAGGAGAGAAGGTAGGAAGGGGAAGAGGAAGAGTAGGAGTAGGAGAAAGTTAAGGGAAGAAGAAAGAGGTAAGGAGAGGAGGATGGAAGGGAGAGGAAGAGAAGGAGAGAAGGTAGGAAGGGGAAGAGGAAGAGTAGGAGTAGGAGAAAGTTAAGGGAAGAAGGAAGGGGAAGGAGAGGAGGATGCAAGGGAGAGAAAGAGAAGGAGAGAGGGTAGGAAGGGGAAGAGGAAGAAAGGTAAGGGAAGAAGGAAGGGGAAGGAGAGGAGGATGCAAGGGAGAGAAAGAGAAGGAGAGAGGGTAGGAAGGGGGAGAGGAAGAAGGTAAGGGAAGAAGGAAGGGGAAGGAGAGGAGGATGGAAGGGAGAGAAAGAGAAGGAGAGAGGGTAGGAAGGGGAAGAGGAAGAAAGGTAAGGGAAGAAGGAAGGGGAAGGAGAGGAGGATGGAAGGGAGAGAAAGAGAAGGAGAGAGGGTAGGAAGGGGAAGAGGAAGAAAGGTAAGGGAAGAAGGAAGGGGAAGGAGAGGAGGAGGGAAGGGAGAGAAAGAGAAGGAGAGAGGGTAGGAAGGGGAAGAGGAAGAGGAAGAAAGATAAGGGAA